TGAATACTTATTGCACAAACAAGAGAATGAATACATATGCATAAAGCAAAATCTTTTTAAGAACTTGAAGACTACAGATGTTATTTGTGTGTATTTACAGACAAAAAGAATGCACCACAAACAGGAATCTTCATGTCTTTCATAATGTAGGTGTTTCAAATTCTTTGCCTACTGTGCATAGCTTTTGCCTGTCCAAGTAATTGCAGTATTACTGCTGTATATTTTCTATTGAAAAATAAAATGAAGAATAAATGGATAATGGAATAGGGAATTAACATTCCTTTTCTCTACTGGGCTATTGCTATTGTGCAATGGAAAAAGATAAGATAGGATAAAAATTAAAGATTAAAACAACTCAGACAAGTGGGAAATTAGATCATGAGTGTTGTATTGAGATCCGGAATGTAGAATGAAGAACAATTTTCCTTTTGACTATCACAGAGGTAGGTTTGGGTAGGTAGAAAAGTATCTTAAAATGAAGTTAACCAGAAAGATGGCTTCATACATACAAATCCCTGTTGTGGGATTTGTTCCAAAATCATGATACATGAAAGAACAACTAAGAATCTCCATTGAAAATAGAGTAAGGAGGCTTGATTATAAATTTAATTGATTAGAACCAATCTGTGGAATGAAAAAAAGTTATGCTCAGGCTAAAACATAATCAAATTTATACAAAATGATGAGTAACTTTGAGAACTAAAATGTCCTACAGGAGAGTTGCATTAGTATCTATATTTCTCTCCAAAGAAAGTGGGTTTTTTGTTTGTTTGGTCGCTTGTTTTTTTCCACAGTCATCAAATGGGTAAAATCTAGTTTACTGAGGGAATCAACAAACACTATGGGATTAATCTGGGACACCCAATTTTTGGTCATTGTGGGGGAAAAAACACACTTCCAACTCCATTCTTATCCATATTCCGTGATATCCTACAATATGGGTTCAGCTTTATAATAGACTAGAGGCCCGGTGCACAAAAATTTGTGCACTCGGGGGTGAGGGGGGGTCCCTCAGCCCAGCCTGTGCCCTCTCGCAGTCTGGGACCCCTCGGGAGATAACAACCTGCTGGCTTAGGCCTGCTCCTGGGTGGCAGAGGGCAGGCCTAATCCCTAGGTGCAGCCCCTGGTCGGGCTCAGAGCAGGGCCAATTGGGGAGTTGGGGTGCTGCCCCCTGTCATGCACAGAGCAGGGCAGATTGGGAGGTTGCGATGCCACCCTCAGTCATGCTCAGGGTAGGGCCGATTGGGGGGTTGGGGCACCACCCCCTGTCATACTCAAGGCAGGGTTGATGGGCAGGTTGTGGCGCCACCCCCTGTCATGCACAGAGCAGGGCTAATCATGGTTGGGGCGCTGCCACCTGTCATGCACAGAACAGGGCCCATCAGGGGGTTGGGGAGCTCCCCCCTGTCACGCACAGAGCAGGGCCCATGAGGGGTTTGGGGAGCTCCCCCCTGTCACGCACAGAGCAGGGCCCATCAGGGGGTTGGGGAGCTCCCCCCTGTCACTCACAGAGTAGGGTCGATAGGGGAGTTGGGGCACCGCCCCCTGTCACACACAGAGCAGGGCAGATCAGGGGGTTGGGGTGCTGCCCTCTATCACCCACAGAGCAGGGCCGATCAGGGGGTTGGGGCGCCGCCACTGTCACACTCAGGGCAGGGCCGATGTGGAGGTTATGGCTCTACCCCATCACACACAGAGCAGGGCCCGGGGGGGGGGGGGAGCGCCACACCCTGTCACACACAGAGCCACAGGGCAATCAGGGGGTTGGGGCGCCTTCCCCTGTCATGAATAGAGCAGGGCCGATAGGGAGGTTGTGGCCCCACCCCCTGTCACACACAGAGCTGCAGGGTGATCAGAGGGTTTGAGCTCTGCCCCCTGTCACGCTGATCCTGGTGCTGGGAGGCCTCACGGCTCTGCTGATCCCAGTGCTGGGAGGCATATTACCCTTTTACTATATAGAATAGAGGCCTGGTGCATGGGTGGGGGCTGGCTGGTTTGCCCTGAAGGGTGTCCTGGATCAGGGTGGGGGTCCCCACTGGGGTGCCTGGCCAGCCTGGATGAGGGGATGATGGCTGTTTGCAGCTGGTCACACACCCTTCAGGGTAGGGGTCCCCACTGTGGTGCCTGGTCAGTCTGGGTGAGGGGCTGAGGGCTGTTTTCAGGCTGGGACTGAAGCTCCCAACCACTCCTTTTTTTTTTTTTTTTTTTATTCTGGGCCAGCTTTAGCTCTGAGGCTCCAGCTCTTAGGCCTCTGCTCCTGAAAGCAGGTATCTGGTTTGTTTCGGTTCTATAATCGAAACTCTGTATCAACTCCAGCTCTGAGATCCCAGCCAGCTGAAAGCTGCTTTCTGGGGTTTTGTTTAGCGTCTATATTTGTTACAATGTTTGAAACTGCAAGCTCAGAGGCCTGCAGCGGCAGGCGGGGAACGTTGGAGTCCTCCGTCACTGAAGCAAGCAAGCCTCATGTTAGTTTCAAGCTGGCTGGCTGCCGACCGCCATCTTGACAGTTAATTTGCATATTGCCCTGATTAACCAATGGGAAGGGTAGCGTTCGTATGCCAATTACCATGTTTCTCTTTTATTAGATAGGATTGTTCAGTTCCACTGCTAATATTATTCCTCTTTATCCTATCCTTTATTCAGGTAGAAAGTCAGAAGTGAGTCAACAGAAAAGCTACATAGTCATGGTCTTTAATTAATTCTGAATTTGAATATTGATGGAAAGCTGATGATAGTATATGAAAATGTTTCAGGAAAGTAAATTTTGCTATATTCAGAAACTTTCTTCAGAAAAATCTGTAAGATTTGTTCTATTTTCTGTTGGTCTGATAAACTTTTGTGAGTAGTTGCTTTTTCTTAGTCAACTGAGTAAAGTAATGAAATATTTTTGAAATCTCTCATTCTTTTTTTTATTACTTTCCCCTTCCAATCATTGGGCAGTATTTATCTTGAAAATGCAAAGGCTACTTGGCAATTAGGTGGACTTGGGAAGCTCTTTGTTTGCCATTTCGGCAGAATGATATGAACAAGTTTGATGTCATTTGATAAATATTCTGTTCTTTACCCTGGGACTAACCCTGCTCCTCATAGCTCTATGTTTACTGAAGAAAGTATTGCTATTTCACTTTCAACACAATCGCTAGGCCACTGAGGGCCACTATAAATACCTCTTTATCTAAAACATTTCACTGTATAGAAGTTAGTCAATTTCTCTCTGTGATGTATAACACTAAACCCTCTTGGTATCACAGTTATAATGAGGTCTACTTTGCTAAGAGAATATATCATAGTGAATCAATTCTGTTTAGAGTTTAAGTAAGGGCAACGGCATGGGTATGTTGATTTAAATAAAAGCAAGAATGAGCTTTTAGAAAGAGACCAAAGAAAGGAAAGGACCACTCAGAATGACAACAGTGAATTTATTTCCTCTGCGTTTCATGGGGACAGACAGTTATACAACTCTGCATGAAGCTCTTATCACTTCTGGAAGTGTCATTACTTTGCGTCAAAGTATTTGTCATTGTACCATGGAAATCAAGTCATTTGTTTGCATGAGGTGCTGATTAACTGTGACTTTATCGTTGCCATTAAACCTTATGAACAGGAAAACATCATAGAAAGAATAAATCTCTTATCAGATGTTGACACTGACAAATATCTTGAAGTCTGCACAAGGGCAACGCTGTAGTATTGTTTCTCTTAGAAAGGCACTGGAGTGTTCTCTCTAGGATACTTTCCTTATGGACTCATATTTGCCAAGTTAGATAAGTTATACAACTTGCAGTGTCTCATGTTTTAATCTTTGTTATGTCACATTCTTTGGAGGACAAGTAGACGTTAGATAATGATGTTAGCATGACTTTGTTTTTCTTCAATTTTAGGAGAATTAGAAGATAAATTTTTCTGGAAATAAGAGTGAAACCATTATTCTTATAATACTTAACATTAGTTTAGTTTTAGCTAATTTTGAGTGTTATTAAACATTAGCCCAAATTAACAAAAAATGCCCCCTCGCTTAGTTTTTTTTTTCTGACAATGATTTAACCAGTTTTTCAGAAACCCCAAATTTTTCAGAAATTCGACTATAATATTAAGATAGAACATAATTATAACAACATGCATACAGATGAAGAAAACATTTTTACCCATGATAGTTCACATTCCACTCAGTAATATAAAAGATAATCAACTCGGATGCTTACTTTTGTTCAAAAAATGATTCACAATGTCATCAGAGAGGTCGTTAATGTTTGCAAGCACCATTTCCTCCTCTGAAATAAGCGCTGTATGTTATCTTAACTAATCACAGGTTCTGTTTGTGAGTTAGCGTCCTATGTGCAAGTAACTACGTCCACTTGATCAGGATGAGTTGGAGTTGAAAAGTCTGAGAAAAAAATATTTAAAAGTTGTGACTCTAAATATTTAGCCAGAGCTAAGAATAGTATGAAAATTACTGGTTTGTGCTTTTTGCAAGAGGTATTTATTTTATTGACTATTTACCAATTATATATGTACCTTGGGAGTAATGATATGCAAAATCTTCCTTGCTTCATTATCAATGAATATTGATAGATGACATGCTGTTAAAATAAAATGAAAATGTCTAAATGAGTATTCAGATCATTTTGTTTCCAGGCTTCTCTTTGAAGTGTGCTGTGGGTTTATTCTGTGATATCACAGAAGTGACAGTTTCTTTAATCGTGCACTAGTCACCAACGCATTGGACATGCCCCTCTTACAGTGACTAGATCTACATATCCCATGATTGCTGCTTAAATATCGCATGATTTTAAAGGGGGCGAGCCGTTTAAAATTCCTTAGTTCTAAAGCTCAGTGTAAGCCCATATGACCGGATTTTATGTGCTTGTTCTAAATCCTATATTAGTTTTAAAATATTGGTGTCCTGTTGCTCCCCCTAATCTGGTTACTGGTATCTTCCCCTCCCCTCCTTTTGTTCAATCAGAACTATAATAGTTGTTGTATTTTGGTGTTTCCTTCAGGCTGAGGAGTGGGAGTGTGATGAAGCGACCAAGAAGGCCTGCTACAGTAAGGGCAAATCGGAGGTAAGGAGAGCGCGGTCATGGCGGTCACCAGCTTCTTGAAGGATGGAACATAAAGCATGCTAATGTGAAGGCTATTCCTGATTATGGTGCCATGTGAAAAAGGCAAGCTTTGAAATATAAGTGCAGTAAATTCTCCAGGTTTTAACATTCAGTGAGTTTCCAAAAGGGATTTAGAGCATAAGATCAGATCTAATTTGCACTCTCAGACATTAGACTAAGCAATGAAATTAATTGGTTATGATGTCATTTAGAATACTGTGGGCCTGGATTTTTTAAACAATATTTTTATTTCTCCCAGTTTTGCCTTACAGCTAACTCCAGAAAATGACTACATGATATTGAAAATAATGGCATCAAAAGTGATTTAAGAGTTCTTTATAATTTAGCTTAATCTATTTTAAAAATAAGCACAAGAAAATCTATACCCCAGGTTCCTAAGGGCAGAGTAGCTACGGCTCAAAGGCATGTCTTGAGCAGCGGTGCCCATGGCAGGGGTGCTCTCACACCGTTGGCTGCCTAGGAGGGGTTCCCACCGAAGTCTGTTTCTGAGAAAATGATGCTGGACCATGTTGAGGAAATGCTTCTGCCGCTGGGTCTTAGGCTCCGTAGGCCTCATTCTGTTAGGGATCACCTTCCTTCGTTGGAGCAAGGGCTTCCCAACCTCAGACACACTTTGGGTCCAGAAAAAAGTCAGTCCTCAAGAGCAGCAAAGAGGGCTTGTTCTTTACCAAGTGTGGTCCCAGGGCAAACAGTGTAGCAAATGCAGAGATCGCTGGGAAAACTCCCGCATACCGGTGGTATGTGTAAGAGGCTCTCTTGCACTTTATTTTATTCAGCCTCATTGCCTGCTTCTCTGTCTGAACTCAACAGTCTTGAGGGTTAGACATGGAGGTAAGTCTCAGCAAACTTTAGTCATCGTGTTTCTCAAAGCCGAATAAAGAGCTAGGAAGAGGGAAGAGGAGGAGGAAGGAAATACAGTCTTAGCCAGGGAAACCCTTGCAGACAAAGAAAAAGAAAGGCTATTTACCAAAAGATCTCTAACCTCACGGAATGCCTCTGAAATAAGTCATCGGACATACAGGAAGATTTAAAGGTAGCACCAGGTTACAAAAAAATTAGAATGCTGTCTCTTAAAATACCTCTGAAAAGAAATAAGTTCATAATAAATGTGTGTACCTCAATAACCTTATTGAGTCTGTATAGATTATGTACACGCCTTTTGACAAAGTGCTTTCCAAATGGCTTTCTTTCTCCTCCCTGTGATATTTATGTCTTGATATGACAGGTGTATTGTTATACCTTTGCTCCTCACTCACCAGAGCACAGGGAGTTCTTCAAATAAGATCACCTGTGCTTGAGGAATGACATGTGAGGAATCAAATTTACCAGGGGCTGGGTTGGGAAAAACTCAGCTTTCTTTCATTCTACTAGTAAGATTCACTGATGGAAAACATCGGCCTTTCTTTCCATGGTGTAATGCCAACGTCCTCCCCTTTGCCTGGTGACATCCGGGCCTTCCGGGGCCCAGGGCACTGTCTGATGACCTCATTCTTCTCTTTTTCTTAATCCTCACTCTAGGATATGTTTTCCATTGATTTTAGAGAAAAGGAGGGATGGTGGGAAGGACAGAGAGGAAGAGAGAAACGTCAAAGTTAGAGAGAAACATTGATCAGTTGCCTCCTATACACGCCCTGACCAGGGGGATCAAACCTGAAACCTAGGTATGTGGCCCTGACTGGGAATCGAACCTGCAACCTTTTGTTTTATGGGCTGATGCTCCAACAAACTGAGCCACCCGGCCAGGGCTCTATTACTTTCTAGGAACAAGAAAGGGGGAAGAGGAGAGACCCAAGCTCAATGCCTGGGGCACAGATGGGGAGGCAGCAGGCAGCCCCACTTAAAAGCAGCAGCTTAGGCCAAGTGCCACCTGCCTAGGGGCTAACCCCTAAATTAGACACCCCAAATTTCCCCGTTCTGACAGTGCCGGGAGCCAAATCAGAAAACATTCTCTGAATCAATTTGACTAAAACCTAACAGCGGTTGAGGGGAGTGGAAGTCAGATTTTTCTCTGTAGCCATGAATTTAGAAATGAGAATTCAATGTTTCATATCTTTCTTTGTATGGTAGTATTATGAAACCTGACACAGAATTACAAAGTTTCCCTGCCCCCCAAAGTAAAAAGAATAATGGACAATGTGACATCTCAAAAATGAGAAAAATGCCAGCCATTCTGACTGAAGAGGCCTTTTTCCTGCGCTAAGAAAAGCAGTCTGTGCTGCTCCCCACAGTGGGTTTTCCCGCAGAACCAGGAATGTGGAGCGTGGCCCATGCTGGGCCTGGGGGTGGCAGCCTGCGCCCACTCACTCCTGAGAGCCTTCCTCAGCGGCTGCAGAGCAGGGGAGAGGAAGATGACATGTGTTCTCCTCCCCTGGGATTGCTGGGACGGACACCGACAGAGGTTCATGTATAGTCCATCTCAGTGACAATTTAGGGAATCGGGGTCAAGAAAATGTTGCCACATCTTTGCTTTGGGCCTGTTTAGAAGAGAAGCAAAGCACTGAGCCTGCTCATTCTTCCTGAGGTTTGCGTGCCATTTTATATACACAACTTTCAGCTCACTTTGGAGAAAGGGGGTGACTCAGCTGCAATGGCTTAAACATTCTATGTATTAAAAGGGGGGGGGAAGAAATCTGTTTTTATGAATTCCAAGGCCTCTTATAATAAATTCTGTTGTATTTAGTTTCCTTTGAAAGACCATTATAGAAATCAGCTTTGAGAGCTATTTAAATGTCTTTTCCACAAATGTTATTTTAAACATAAATAGTCAATTCTCTGGTGATCTAACAAGAGTCCCTTGTCTGTTTGGCGTTATTATGTCTGAGCCAAAGCCCTTCCCACCGTGACCTTTAGGAACTTGACAAAAGAAACACAACTGGTGATTAAGGGCATGAAAGAGCTGCTTTGTGTATATGTTGCACTTTTTATAATTTTCAAAAGTTTCTTGTTCATGATCTTATGTCAGTACTTTCAACACCAAGTTCCTAGAATTATTTTGCTAGTCAGTGGGAGAGTTTTGATTAGGATCTAGGGCTCTTTGTACTGTTCCCCTGCTCTACCCTTTGGTCCTGCTCCCGAGTTGTCAACTTGGGTAAGTAAAGAGTTAAACTCCACCTGAGCCAGCAAAGACGCCATCCTGCCTGGGAATCTGGTGCCATCAGGGTTGAAACCTGACATTTTCACCTGAATTGCCAGTATTTGGAAAGCTAGGAGTTAATCAGTGCCTGTGGCAAACTACAGGCCTGCCTTTCTCCTAAATAATTGCTGCAAAAATTGAGGATTCCTTAGGTGAAATACTAACAACCTGTGCAGGTTACACATGCCAAATTTTGTTCTTTTTCATATCGAGCTTCCCAAACAAGTTTCCCATGGAGTTAACTTCTTTTAAAATAGTAGTATTATGTAAATATAAATATAGTAATTACACTTCAATTTATTAATTCACTGTGTTATGTAACATAGTGTAATCTTAATAAAATCTGTGTGTATACATAGATATATATTTACAGATTAACATACTTCAATATCTCTATATGTATATCCAGGGGTGGGCAAAAAGTAGGTTTACAGTTGTTCGTATGGACAAAGACATGCAGATTATGATTATTGCAATAGCTTTGTTAACTCAAAAAAGAATGTCACAATGGCACAGTGCACTTAGGTACAATCTTATAAATGCTCAAATTGCAGACCTTCATCAATTACACCAGAAAAGAAGGGTAGCCTTTTTTCTGCCAAGGGCCATTTGGATATTTATAACATCATTCGCTTAAGATAATTCACTTCATATAAATATATGCTGCTATGAAAAAAAGCTCCTAGATTTATTGAATTTAGTCCCACCTGCGGTTGCCTTTGCAGGGCCAGACCAAATGATTCTGTAGGCCTTATAAGGCCTGAGGGCCAGATGTTCCCCAGCCCGATTTACACATTCTCGTAGTCTTTGAAAATCAGTAAACAAAGCTGAATTTCAATGACCTGCTTGTGTTAGCCCAACTGCCTCCTGAGGATGTTGAAGTCAGCCCTGCTCTTGCCAACCTCTGTATTTATATATACTTCTATAATTTGTATGCACATTTATATGTCGGAAATACACACATATATCTTTATATACATTGTGTATATATATTTATATCAATTGGATCATATTGTTTTTCAACCTTATGGTAATCCACCTGGTAATCATGACTTTGGTTGGTATACATTGGACCTAAAAGGCACATGCAATTACTCTGAATTGCTCCTTGGATGCTTGCTTTGGATGCTCACACAGGTAATGCCTCATTAAGAGACAGACACTGCTTTTAGTGGGAGCGCTGTGATTAACATAAAGGCTGTTAGGCTCCTGGCCTTCCCCCCTCCTCCCTAAAATTGATGGGTTTGGCGATGGGCTGGCTGTTGCTGAGGCATCTACCTTGTTTACAGTTAATCTTTCTACACACTTACAGTCTTTCTTCAAGCAAAACATAACTGTTCGAAAGGAAAATGATGAAATGCTATAAGGCAAAACCAGTTAATTCATTAAGAAGATGATCCGACCTAAAACATGTGTTTTCTCTTCTGGGGCCAGACCATATGTCCTTGAGACAGAATGAGCCTTGGCCAGTCTCATCTAAAAGCTCTCAGTGAGTCAGCAACTATGCATCTCGGCTATCAATTCAAATAAAAATTGCATCGAAGTCAAGGACAGGTTGACCAGCTTGCAAGAACGCAGGCACACATGGGTCATTTTAAGGCCCAAGTGGTATTATCAAAATGTAGATAGATGGCTCTCATTGTCAACAACAGAAACCATGTGGTGGCAGGCTGCTAGTGGCCTTGGAAATGAGCACTATGACTTCTTGGAAAACCAGAAGTCATTAAATCCCCTTCAACCATTTTGAAGATGGGATAAAGGGAAAAAAGAATTCCTAGATGAGAAGAAAAATCAAAGACATTTAGATAAGCTGATTTGTAAGAGAAACCTGTAACAGAATCTCCTAAAGGGGCTTCTAATTATGTCTATACTTTTAAAAAAGGTGATTCTGTGCAGTCTAGCAAGTTCAGCTAATCCATATGAAGGCCACATTTGTAGCACAGCTTGACAAAGAGGTTTACCAGGAGATTTTCTATAGGCAAATTAGAGTCTAGGATTATCACCAGTAAGAGACTAATTATTACAAAGCCTGGGACACAGACCATTTTTCTTCAATCTTAATTTTGACTCTTCATTGCTAAAAACAAAAAACCAAGGAGTTATTATTTCAAATGTATTTCTTTATTTAAGATTCATATTAACTGATTCTAGAATCAGTCTGGGGGCAGTTTGTAAGTTAAACCAAAGAGAACTTCCAAGTGAGTAAGCATAGGAAGGGTCTGAGATAAGCTGAGCCAATCTTTTGGACAAATGAGTTGAGCTCTTGGCAGGAAGAAACAACATCTCAACTGCCTTCAAAAGTTTCTCTTGTAGGACATCGTGTTCCATCAGACCTTGCATCCTGGACTCATCTCGAACATGGTCCCATTTATCATAAGCAAGTCTGGGTTCCATAGGGCTGGGTCCTCCATCCTTTTAGAAAAGGATTGCACAGACCTTCCTGTCTGACCATCCTGGTGCCTGGAATCGACCTTCTTCCTTGCTGCATACTCACTGAGCAGGGTTAGCTCATCATGGGCACATGACCCTCCTCAGATAGCAGAGCCGCCCATTGTATCCTCACGTGATTCTGATGACCAGAATAGGCTTTACAAAAAACAAACAAACAAAAAACCTCTGTGTTAATTGAAATAATATTATTTTCTCCTTCATTTACTTTTTTCAAGATTAAAAAAAAAAAATTACCAGTTGGATTTGCCCTTCCTCCCTGGCACAAAGCTACATCCTGGTTATGACAACCCCTAACTATCTTTCTAATTCTTTCTCAAGTTGTGATGGGCCTTCAGAATGTTAAGGACCTACAGTCCTATTTTCACTTTGTCTTTTTTGGGGGGAGATTAAGATAAACACCACTTGTGCTATCTTCATTGTTTGCCTTCCCATAATTGATTTGAGGCGCTTGCTTCCTCTTCACCAAGCCTATAGCATTCAGCCTTGAGATCCCATCTTTTCAATCTGAATGATTCTCTTGGAATATCTTACCCCTGACCTTCTTTATGATTAACAGGGACAGCCTCTAGCACATTTCTATCTTGAGTCAGTCTCTTGCTTCAAAAAAAGAAACAACATCTTGACTCATTCTTGAAAAACTTCTAAAAGCAGCAGCAGAAAACAAACAAAATCCCCACCTCTCTCCTCTGTGCAATTCTCTAGCCCATTCTTTATTCTGGTGGCATTTTTGTATCTGTTTTATCTGCTAATGCGTCAAGCCCTCTTGGCCCTGTGTTCTCCAAGGTCTTTTTGGACTCCCCCTCAGACAAGCTTAGGCTTTTGTGTTTTCCTCCTCATCTTTGCAACTCTGGGCCCCTCTGTTACCTGAGGTGGGAGCCCCATCTCCTATGCTCAGGAATGGATGATGATAAGGTTCTTTGAAGTCTTGTTTTTTTTTCTTTCTCTATAGAACTTTCTTGCTCTCTCCCTAGTTATACAGACAAAACCAAACACACCTCCCCATCTGGTGCACCTTTCTCACTTACCCAACTTACTGTCTACTGTTTACACTCATTTCTTAATTGTTCTGATAGTTACCTTAGCTCTTTTGTTCTGTGCTTTTCTTTCTTCAGTTGAAGTGTCTTCAGGTTGGCACCTCATGATAATTTGTCACTTTTATTGCTAGTACTAGTATTAAGAGATTTATCTACTCTTGATATTTCACTTTACATTTAGAAAGCAAATTCAAATAGCTTAGCTCTTTTCATCCTCACAGCCAGCCCACAAAGCAGACTGAGTTGTGACAGATTAACATTTCATGGAGCCTGGGTTGCCACCTGGTTGAAGGAGCATTGCTATGCCATTTAGTCTAGATCTCCCTGACTTGGGACAATGTGTGGTTTAAGTCATTTTTTGGGGTCCAGCTGGTTGGTCAGTGCCCACATCCTGTTGATTGCCTGGATCCAGGCTTTGCCTTTTCACACCTCCAGCATGAGTCAGGCATGGAATGAGGAGGGACTGAATTATGGAAGTGGTTTCCCTTCCTTTCTCTGAATTGCAGTCTCCCTACCTCCAGGTTAGCTTCCACACTGATTCCCCAGTGGCCTAATTGATCACAAGCATCGGATCAGGTCAGCACTTCATGCAGTAACAACATATCATGAGTCCCTTCAGAATCAGAATAAATGTAAACTCGTCAGCCGGGCACACCTGGCCTGTGTCTGGCTCCCCTGCTTGTGTTCCCTCTTCTATACACAATGAAAGCACCATGATTTCTCTAGCCAGTGTGCCTTGGCACAGGCAATTCCCCTGCCTGGAGTGGGTTTTCCTTTCTTTGCTCAGTAAAACCCTGCAAGTGTTAGATAGTACCATTTCCAGGGAGCTTCAGTAAATTTTACTCTTCCTTTGAAATTTGTGTTAGGTGTCACCTCCTCTGGGAAGCCCGTCCATACCTCTTTCTTTCCCCTCTCCTCTGGAATTAGGAATATGCTGTTCTTATGTGGACAGCTCTACAATAATTGTTGTTGCCCTCAATTTTAATTTTTCTCTTGAGAGCCTAGATTGTGACCTTCAGCACAGTGCCCCCTAAAGAGTATCTGATCAGTAAATGCTTGCTCAGGTCCATGCACTCATATGACCATGCACCAGATTTTCTGTGAATACTTTGCAACTGCAAGAAATATTCAGCTCTGGGTCACCCCTCAGCATAGGCTTTCCTACCATATGTTTGAGACGTCCTTCTTTTCTTAGTTATATTTTTATTTGTCCATCAAAGAATCAAAAATGACAATAGAATCTTGCTATGTATGTAACCCACTTTGAGAACTTAATGTAAACCTTGTTCCAATTTGTATGCAGAGTTTTTCATGTGGCCTTCACCTTGGAGAAGCACGCACATGTATTGTAAAAGTCCTGGGATTTTAATTGAATACTGAAGGCCCAGTACACAAATTCATGCATGGGTGGGATTGGCCAGCCTGCCCTGATGGGAGCCAATCGGGGGCAGGGCTGGAAAGGGGGAGGCGCCATGGGCGGTTGGCTGGCTGGCCAGCCCCGCCCCCAATCGGGGTGGGGGAGGCCAATTGGGCCCTGATTGAGCTGGTTTGCCGCTGCAGTGCACGGTCATCCGGTCATCCAGTCATTCCGGTCGTTCCAGTGTTCCGATCGCTTGACTTTTATATACATAGATAGTATCTCCCATTGAACAAGCATGTGGATAGTCATATTATTTAATAGTGCTGAGGCCTTGTTAATGAATTTCTTGTAATATTTTTATTTCTTAGGATGAATGTCAGAACTACATCCGGGTGCTTTTAGTAGCTGGCGACTGGTTATTTACCTGTGGGACCCATGCATTCACACCTGTCTGCAGCAATCGCACGGTACGGCTTCATGTTGAGACTTGACAAAACTTATATCAGGAAAATGCAAACCTTCTATTAAAGCACGGGTGTATTTTTTGCTTTTCTGTTCTCCAATGAGTTGCTCTTTAATTCAAAAAACCTCTTTTGTCAAATTGAATGCATATTTGATGTATTGATTTACTCCTAATCACAACTCTCAATTATATAAAGAACTGGAAATAACCATAGCTTTTATAATTAAATTTAAATAGATTTTGAAACTATTTCTACCAGCTTTTTCCCCACCAGTGACTCTAAACATTAATCATAAATATGTTCTTTTTCCTTACTCTGCTTTACTCTAGAGATACTGCTAAGTATTGATGTGGCCTTAAACCACAATCTGAATGAAAAAAGATATCACAAATTGGAAAAGAAACATGACAAAAAATTAAAGCAAGGAAACAAACCACTGGAACTCTAGGCAAAGTAGTTATAACCAATGCTTTTTCTTTCAAGCTGTGATTACTGACAGGGATTTTCAGAGTCCTACATCTTTTGCCAGGAGAGCAGCAGGGTTATCAAAGCAAACCTGTCATCTTCCCAATGCGAGATATTCATTTGATCTTCCTCAGGGAACATAATGGAGAACTATCATCAGGTTAATTTCCTGGTTGCACAACTTCTCTCAAAACCATAATGTATCATCAGCTTCATTATTTTTGAGTTAACATCCAGTTATTGTAAAAAAAAAAAAAAAAGAAAAAGAAGATGATGGTGATTTGAAGTGATTCTCACAGAGATCCCTGGGTGCCACGGCCTGTTATAAGAGCCCTATGTGCACTTACTCAGTTAATCCTCACGTCTACCCACTGTGGTGGTTATCCTTTGTGTCCCCTTTTATAAAAGGAGAGTCTCAGGCAGAAAGACTTTGAATAACTTAACGGGGCTACAAGGCTACCCATCGAGCAGGCAGTGGCTCTGAGTGTCCCCCACCCCATCTGCATTCTTGCCTCTCAGGGAAGAGTGAGGGAACAAGTGGACCCAAGATTCCCTTACCACCCAAAGGGCTTTTCTCACTCAGTGATTGACAGGCTGGATTCCACCCCCCGCCCCCCAGATGACAGCAAGACTTGGAGTTCTCTCTAAAAACTCAATGAAGTTTTGGAAATTTTGGCATAGTGCTATAAATACCCATACATCCTTACCTATGAACACATTTTGGGCTATTCATAATATGCAGATACACTATATTGATAAAATTGTACCTAATTTTTATTGTGGTTTATATTTCTGTAAGTATTGAAACCTGTGTCTTTATTCAAGTAGAAAGAATATCAGTGCCCCATCCATCATGAATAGAAGCCACATACAATAATCTTCAGATTTTGGTAGCATTCACTCACATGAGGTTCTGTTACTCTGTTGGGATTATGAGAAAGATTGATTCGTGCACATTTAAACCATGCCCACAGCACTCAGTTTCATCAAGGGCAGAGCATGAAAGTTGGTCGTGTCTTGTCCTGAGCCCCAGAAAGCTTGATTCCCATTCTTCCAAGCGGTACAGGCATTAACAGTATTAAAGGGCTCACCCAGGGTAATCGGTTTCTCTCACCCACAGTTGAGTAACCTGACCGAGATCCATGATGTGATCAGCGGCATGGCCCGCTGTCCCTACAGCCCCCAGCACAATTCCACGGCTCTCCTCACGGCCAGCGGGGAGCTATATGCTGCTACAGCCATGGATTTCCCTGGACGCGATCCTGCCATTTACCGAAGTCTGGGCCTCTTGCCTCCTCTACGTACGGCCCAGTACAACTCCAAGTGGCTTAATGGTAAGTCCTACAGTCACTCCTGTTTCCCATCTCATGTGTCTGTGATGCCTGGTTACATGGTGCTCAAATTCAAACTGTCACAGTTTCTAAAGAAAAGTATATCTTCTAAAGAAATCAAAATGTAATGTGCTTATTACTTCCATGTGGAAGGGTATCATGTGGCGCTTTGGTGATAGAAAGACCAGTGATAGTCCCTACAGTGTAGACCATGAGAATAGGACTCATTTGATATTCATCAAACTTAGGCTAGTTTTTAATAGTATTGTTTATAATTTACAAAATGTGATGTTATGTCCAAGATATCTGCAGACGCATGTGCATTTTCCTTTAACATCTTTATTATATACGAGAGGCCTGGTGCACAAAAATGTGTGCACTTGGAGGGGTCCCTCAACCCGGCCTGTGCTCTCTCGTAGTCTGGGACGCCTTGGGGGATGTCCACCTGCTGGCTTAGGCCCACTCCCTGGGGGACTAGGCCTAAGCTGGCAGTCAGACATCCCTCTGGCAGCCTGGAGCCCTCGGGGGATGTCCACTTGCCAGCGGGGAGCAGGCCTAAGCTGCAGTCGGACATCCTTAGCGCTGCTGAGGAGGCGGGAGAGGCTCCCACCACCACCGCTGTACTGGCAGCCATCAGCCTGGCTTGTGGCTGAGCAGAGCTCCCCCTGTGGGAGCACACTGACCAGCAGGGGGCAGCTCCTGCATTGAGCGTCTGCCCCCTGGTGGTCAGTGTGTCATAGTGACCAGTCATTCCCAGTGGTTCTGCTGTTAGGGTCAATTTGCATATCACCCTTTTATTATATAAAAAATCTAAAACAGAAAATTACTGGCATTTCATGAAATGTTCAGACAATGTGTAAAAGACTGCGTATAGTTACTGGTAGCTCCAGATAGCTTGACCAGTTTAAAAAGAAAGGTATCAAATCAGGGTAGACATCTTTGGAGTTACTTATATCAGTGGCTCAAAAGTCAATAAGGACCCCAATGCTGTCACTGGTCTCTCTGCATCCACAGCCTGTCCAGTCAGGTCGGTCCTCGGGCTAACTCACTGCTGAAACTTCTGGTCCTGCATTCGGATATGACAGTGGGAGAAGAGCCACATAAGACTTCCCTTCAATCTTGGGCTAGAACTTGGTTACCCAGTCACTATTGAGATTGGCTCTGTACCATGTCCTGAGATGAGTCAGCCAAAACTCATCCCCTCATCTATGTGTATCTTCATGTGTGACTGTGAACGCACACACTCACAAATGCAAGGCTGTGGATAGACATGTGTACCATATGTAGTTCATTCCCTCGTGTTTCTGAGAGTTTGTGCTAAGATGAAATCTTCAAATTGCCATGATCATATTTACTATGTGGAGCCTTCAAGTTCTATAAAGATAGAACACATGAATTAAATACAGCAGAGCTTCTCAACCTCAGCACTATCAAAGCTTTGGACCATATAACCTTTTGGGTGGGGTTGGAGTTTTCCTGAATATCATAGGATGGTTAGCAGCATCCCTGACCTATACTCACTATATGACATGCTTCCATCTCCAGTTGTGACAACAGAAATTGCAATTGAGAACCACCTATTTAGACCTACATTTTATAAATGTTTATGTGTATGTGTATATATAAGCACAACACAGGTATTTGGTCAAATAATATAGTCAAAACAACCACCACAGTTTGCTTTTTGAAGAATCCCTTGTAGAAAAGGAAATGTTCTCATCACGTTTCTCCAGGAAGTTGAATGAATATGTGCTTCCAAAGGGAGGCATGGGCTGATATTCCCAGACGAAGAGTGACTGGATTCTCTCCATTAACATTATTTCTGTTGAGCTGGTTGCATCTGAACCCATCCACTCTCTATGGAAGGTCTCCTTTCATCCCTGAAGCTTTCATCTGTGTAGCTCAAAGTTCTGCCCATTTGTTGATTTTTACTAGTCAGGCTGTTTCCAGTTAAAAATCAAAACTCCCCAACCCAAAGGCATTGCAATTAGAGTTTGCCGAAAGCAAAGTAAAAAGTAATTAGGAGCACAGTCTCTTTCTTTTCCCTCAAGTGATACCCTTAAGAATATCCTAGAAAAATAATTCAGGTCAGAGCATGAGTTATAAACGCTGGCTGTTTCTTTACACGTGACTCTGATACCCACAGGCTGATCAGATGGTGAGATTCTCCTAACCCTCTGGGTGGAATTCTTTCCATTTGAGAGTCAGAGAACAAGGGCCATGGAGAGCTAACACACTGTGCACCCCAGTCCAGCAGGTGTGCTGTCATCATTCAGAGGAAGTTTTAGATTCTCAGCTCACAGTGGCTCTGCTTTCCTCACGGAGCAGCACTCCTTGCTCCCTCCCCAGGCCACACCAGGGAGGCCCTGACTCCTGGAGCAGAGATGGAGCCAATTCTTGCCTGCTCACTGTTTGTTCCCTCTCCTGCTTTCTGCTGGGGCAATTCCTTCTTTGACTGAATCCTGCGATATTGGTTCTGCTCCTTGCTGGCCGGCCCCGTTTTTCTGCTCCTATTGACTCTCCATCCAGGACAGATTCTGGCCTCTGTCCCTCAGTTCGCTCTGCTCCGTCCTCCACTGAGCCTGGGTGTGGAGTCATCTATTATCACTGGCCTAATTGAAACCCACACAACATACCCCGTCTGTTCTTTGACTATTTGTCCTGTCTCAGTTCTTTCTGCTGTGTGTGTTTTGGAGGAATTTTCTTTCAATAGATTGTTGCTCTATCTGTTATCCCTTATTTTTTATTTTTTTATTTTTTTTGCCATGGCCTTAAATCTCTTCCTCTCTAATGGTGATCACTCTCTTTTTATAAAAATGCTCAGATTTCTTCTTTCTTAAATAAGACAAGAACAAATAAAGAAACTCAAACAAGCTAAAGCAAACAGCCTTAGTTCTGCCATTTCTAGGAAGTTCCTCATGTGGCCATCATCATATAAGAACAGCCCTATTGGATTAGGGGCCCACCTTCTCTAATATAACCTCGTATTAATGAATTATATCTGAAATCACCTCATTTACATATTTAATATACTGGGGGTTTGGACTTAAACATATTTTTTTGGGGGGGTATACAATTCAACCTATAACAGTATTGAAATCTTAAATGGCAGCCTCTTATTTTCTGATGATGATAGTGATCTTCCTTCCTGTGCTGTGGGTGAGTCCCCTGCCCATCCTCAGTCTCCTATCTCAGCTGTATCACTTCACTCTGAGCAAACAATGGTGTTCCCTTATTTCCAGGGATGTCAAGACTGTGTGGTTGTCGGTCCCCTTAGTCCAAGGCAGAGCTGGTTTATTCTTCTCCTCTTGCGGCTTTCCAGAGCACCGGGATGCAATCCATTTCCTTAAACTGCTGCTCTCTGCACTCTGCATCCCTCCTGGCCCCATGGCCTCTGGGGAATGGTTTCTGTCCCTTAGGCAGCATTCTGGAGTGCATCTCCTCCCGCCCATTCTATGTTTGAGTTACTCTCAAAAGGCTACAGTTCAGGCTTGGCTCAAGCACAGTGACAAAAAAAACATCTCTTCAGGACTTAGGGCATGTAGAGAGCACGGCAGGCCCATTGGCAACTTCAGACTCCCAGGACCCCAGAACTTCAGGGCCAACCTTCAGGCAAATGATGGCATTGGTCTGTCCAGGGTGATGTCCTGCCAGGACACAGCAAACCCAGAGTAGAGACCTGCCAAGCCTCTAATCTTCGCACCACACCTCCTAGAAGCCAACATAAATACCTGGTACCATTCAAACAACCTTCCTTGAGCATGTTGAGTCCTTCAGATTTAATGCTCAAGTTCCAGGCACACATTTTTATTATACCACTACGGCTTTACACCATTGAGGTGTCCCATCCCACCTGCACCGGGTGGCAGGACATGCCATCAGCTGTCAGTAACAGCTGGCATAGAGAGGAAGGACAGGGCTGGCTATGGACACCTTCCTCAGGTTTACCTGCTTCTCTTTCCCAGCCTGTGTGATCTGCTCTGCCTGTGTTTTCAGCCCTGACTCCAGCCACATTCCCACGTACACCCTTGGTGCTCTAGAGAGGAAGTGTGCTGTTCCCTGGATACACCAGGCCTTCCTCACCGTGGTCCTGTGCACATGGCATTGATGCTGTACTCATGTCCCTTGATTTTGTCTACTCCCTCCTATCAGCTCTTCTTTACTTCAGCTTAAGTTTCAGTTTTCCCCAGACTTAGTTGGGTCTTTCATCTGCTCTTGGTTGTACTTACCCCACTGTACTGGAGCTCTTGGTCACTTTCCTCATCAAAATCTACCAGAGCTGCATTTCCCTGCAGGGAAAGCCACAGCCCTGCCCACTGGCCTCCCTTCGCCTCCATGTCCTCACTGCAGACTCCTTGCTCTCTCTGCTCCAGCCTCTTAAATATTGCAGTGCCACTGGCTCTTCCCACTTTCTTGGGACCAACAAACTTTTTCTGGAGAGGGCTAGAGAGGAAATGGCCTAGGCTTTTAATCCTCCACAGCTTTCCATTCGGGGATCATAGCAGGCCAACAGATAAGAAGCAGAAATATGAATGATGGTGTTAAATGAAGGGAACATGTATTAGTTGTAAAACCCCCCACCCCCCAAAAAAGATTTGTATGTTTTTAACTAAGTCAGTTCTAAAGATTTAAAAATCTTCCTTTTGCCATCTTATTTGTACTCCTATTTTTAGCTATTATTTATTCAGTCCGTTATCAAAAACAATGCCATCAATTGGATAATGTTTTGCAGGTTTGAAACGTTGAGTTTAAGTGTTTGGTAATGAATCTAACTTTTAAAATTAGATTTCCCCCTGTGCTAAAATCACTCTTAAAGTAAATTTATGTGTTTAGAGAAGTACCTTAACAGCTTTAATGCATTAAAATACTAATTATTAATAACCATTAGTAAATGATTATTGTACTAGTAAGGCAGGATAATAAATGTTTAATGGCTGATGCTTAAAATAGAGAAGCTGTAAAACTTGCCTTTTAAGAAATTGGCAATCAAATTGGGGGAAAAA